GGCCGTTTCCGGCTATCTTACGAGGAAGCACGCGTCCTCCTCCAGCACGGCGCCATCCCGCTCCATTTTCGAAAGCGGCCCCTTTTGAACCACTTTTGGAGATCCTGCGTTCTCCGCCCGGTCGACTACGTAGATCCCCTTCACTTTCCGAGCTACAAGCACTACCTTCCGGTCAACCTCAAGCTCACAGTTGCCGTTCTCCTTGAACAACACTGAGGCCACCTCGGTTGTCTTCTCACCTAGATCAGGTTTGCCGCAACCCCTGGAACGTACATCACGTTCTGCAGAGTCACCAAACAGTCTCCCGTCGGTGTTGCATACATCAGCTCAACCGAGCCGCTCCCCTCCGCCCACAAGGTTCCCCACATGTCACGTACGCGGATTCCGGGAGCAGAATTTCCACCGTGGCTGATCAGCGCGATAATGACCGTACGAAATTCGACTTTGACACGGTCGCACCATGATGACTCCGAGTTCGTACCAGGGAGCTGGTACGCTTCGACTGTGCTGACACTATGCTGGCTGTACATAGCAAAATCATGCTCTGAAGAAGCTGCTTGCACAGCGCACGCAAACATGGCTTTCAAGCAGGAATATCGTTCTCAAAGGACCTCAGATTGGCTGCCATGGTGGCCCACTTCCCTTGCACGCCGCCCTTCCAAACTTCTAAAAGAGCTTCTAGGAACATTGTCGAATGCAAAGACGCCTCGCTTTTTGTTCGGAAAAATCGTTCATGATGCACATTGAGCAACCTTTTTATTGGGGTCTTCAAGCCAATCGTCTACCACCCCCATTTTTCGCGAGCAGCTCTACGGAGCTCTTAGCTCAGCAATGTCTGAACGTGGAAAAAGGCAACTTTTGAGCAATTCCAGGTGCTAGTATTTCATGTTTGATTGAGCTCAAAATAGCTACAATATTGTCTATAGTGGATACTCGACTTTCTAGCTGGTGGATTTCGCTTGACAGACACCCCGGCTCTCGAAGCTTTACAATCGTCTTTTAGGGTAAGAACCAAATCGCAAAAATACAAATATACGTTGCAACAATATATATGGATGTCTCAGATGACCGTGAATTAGGGTTACATGTGACTCTCATTTGCCAAGTCGAACACATGGAGCCTCCAATTTAGGTTGCTCTCATTGCTTTGCCCAATTTCTAATCGGAGGAGCTGACCATAGAAGCTCAGGAGCTTGTTAGTAAGCTGGAAGAGACGATCGTCAAGGTGCTTGTGTTTATCCAGATAGTTACATGGAGACGACCAGAAGATGAAAGATTTTCAGTACCTGCAGGCTACCAGCGTACCTACCTCATACGGTACCTAGCTCCCGTATGCCCTGCAATCTAGTACGGTACGTACAAGTTCTCGAGGTATCAGGGCGTTGATTCGTAAATGCAAGAAGCGTCGACGGTGTCCAGGCTTTAAAATTTAGACGTTGGTCCGGGTTCAAAATTGTTCGGCCGGACTCATATGAAGTACCTTAGGTACCTACCGTAATCGGACTTGCGGGTGTTGTGGGTGCAATAAAGTATTGTACCTACTCATACCGGTAATGGGTACGGCATCTGCAGTTTTGGTACCTGCTCTGATTGACAGTGGTTCCTTCAACCGGGCAATACTCAGTCACAAGCGCAGGGTTCCAACAGACCCGGGATGGAACCATACGGGCCGGAACAAATCTCTACGGAGCCATGACTTCTCCAGGGAACCACCGTAATCTCCGGGTTTGACAGAGTTTCAAGGAAATTCCGGGCAACAAGCACGGTAACTCTTTAGAGTTGTGTACTGTCCTTGTTGGACGGATTGCAGTCGCGACGAGCAAAAATTCTTGGGTTCTGTACACGGTACGCGGCGGTACCATGTACGCACCGAGGTTGCAGTGACTGCCAGTGCGGTGTCACCGCGGTACTACCGCGTCGTCCTCCGTGCAGTACCTGGTCTGAGATCCGCGTACGTGACATGTGCCTTGTCCCCGAACGTGTGAACTCTCGGCCACTCCCCTCGAACGACTCGAGGGTCTCAAATAGGCTCTTGTCCCCGGTTAGGTGCTTGGAGCTACCCGATTCGACGAGCCACTCGTCGGCAGCTACGCCCTCAATCACTCCCTTGGAAGGTTTCCCTCCCTTCTTTTGCCTCGGTTTGAGCTCCCGCCTTTCCGGCTTGATGCACTTCTGGGCAATGTGACCAAAATTATTGCAATTGTACCACTTAGGCCTCTTGCGCATGCTCGCATCCTTGCCTTGGCTCTTCTCCTTGCTCCATTTCCGCTGAGCTACATAATCCACAGCGGAGTCTGACCCACCACCGCCCTCTTCCTTGGGCAGCTGAAATCCTTGCTCATGCACCAAGAGCTTCGGCGGAAACGCATCCACCGAGCTTGAGCCGCCCTCCGAAGCCATTAGGATTGTTGTCACGGTACTGAACGAGCTCGGCAACCCCGCAAGCACGCTCCAAGCCAGCTCATCCGGCTTCAGCTCGAAACCGGTAGTTGTCAAGTTCCCAATCCTTTGCCCGAGCCACGTACATGGTCACGGGCTCATCCGACTTCATCTAGAGGGAATGCAACTCTTGCCTGAGCTGCATCTTCCTTGCATTGGATTTGCTTTTGTGGGTCGTCTCAAGGCAATCGGAAGACTCCTTTGCGGTCGTGCACGCCTCAATCGTCCCCAAATGATGGTCCTCAACGTTCAGCCCTATGATGGACCACCCTTTCGTCGAAATTTCTTTCTCGGCTTTCCCTGCCACTTGATCCCCCTTACAGGGCTTTCAGATGTTACTTGGCTCAAAGAGCACCCGTGATAAAGCAGACCGCCCCCACCGATGCCTTCATTGACAAGAGAGAACCATAGGCTGATTTGCACCGCGTTTTGCCGCTTCTCCTCAGGACGGAGCGTGGTTTCCTTCCTTGCGGATTTCACGTGTTGCCTACTCAATGGCTACAAGTGAAAG